TGGGCTCCTTCAGCGGATGGTTCGTCAAGGGTGACGAGGCCAAGAAGCAGTAAAGAGGGGGCTGCCACGCAAAACCAAGCAAACCCCGGCTAATCAGCACATCTTGTGCATTCCACCACGACCCATTTCTTCTCTCCTCTTACCAAAACTATCTGTATTTGTATTATCAGGCAAGCTTGGACGGCGAGGAGGCGTTCCAACTTGCATATAGACTTGACGACGTGGGTCTGCATATGTACGAATCTCTGTATACTACTACACTGCTAGACCAACTCTATGATGGAGTGGCTCAATCAATTTGACGTACATTTGTGCGATATCAAGTTTTGCTGCAATCAAGTCAAGGGGTGAAATCAGATTAGAACCTAGAGTTCACCCATTCAAGTTCCATATTGTTTGATTGATATCCATTATTCGTTACCTACTACAAGCCCACTGGTTTCCGGCCCATTGCATTATCCGTCTCTCATCATCAATCATCGCAAGCAGTGTTGCTAATTGCACTCTTCAAGTGCTTGGTATCTCAAAGTGGCCGGTGTCCTGATAAACCTTCGATTCAAGTTCTCCCCACTGATCAACTCCGAGGCAGCTGTCATGACCTACGCAGATTGAGACGAGCTTCTTCTCAGCCGAGCTTCTTGCTCAAGCAGGTGGCGGGGGCTTCTTCATTCCCACTCTTTCACACTGCTCGCATTGGGGATTTGTGATGCATTGAAACCACCTGCCAAAAGATTAGTTCACTGGAACGAAACGGTCTTTTGTGGAAAATATGGAAATGGCAGAGCGTGAGGATCTCACATACCCGTCTCCGACCTTCCCCTTTAATTCGTCGCAGCGGCACGCCAACTGGCAGTAGTGCCACAATGGGTTGAATGGCGGTGTCTTTCCTGCGACGATGACTGGGTCTTCTTCCGCGAGTGAGTTGGTGCCCGGCTTTTGTGTGGTTGGCAGGGCCAGGCCGCGTGCCGTCAGGAGAGTGAAGAGTGTGAGTTGGAAGAAGCGCATTTTGTGATGGTATCGAGAGACTGGCGCTGAGGATTTGTTGCTTGGAAGTGATGTTGAATTCTGGAGATAAAAGTAGATAGTCAAATGTTGCCGTTGAAAAGACTCAGGCCTGAACTGCAATGTTGGTTGATGCTGATGCTCTCAATCCATGTTTTCGACGTCGTTGTAGCCCCGGCTTATATACTCTCTTGATCTCTAACAAGAGCCTATTTTCTTTCCTAGCTTCGATTTTCAACCAGAATCGTCACAAGATCATCTGTGTCAATGTTTGTGGTTCACTCAGCATGAAGCTGCGCGATGAAGTACACGCTGGCTGGCACAGCAACAACTTTATCAAGGTGACGATGATTCCTGGTCTCGTGGCGGTTTCTGTGCTTCTCGATAAGCCTCAAATGCTTCACGAGTTGGAAATTCACCTCAACATTAGGTATTCTTGGATCGACAATGTCCGAGTGAGTTCATGTGATCAAGACGTTCTTTGCTTCCTGTCGTATGCCGTGCGAAAGGTGGTACTGGTATAACCGCAGTTGTCATCGAGACAGCAACAGAGCAACACTTATACAATCCATCATGAGATCTTTCGCCTTGCTCTTCCCGGTAAGCAGGGCAACCGGCCTCCAACAAGGGATGCCGAGGGGTAGAGAATAAGACAGAGTATGTGCGACGGGAGGTACTTTCACCGTTATGATAGAATTGAACTTGCTTCTATGGCACTTGTGTAACGCGACAAGGTCGCGTCTTCGCGGCACTAGAGCTATTCGACCCTCGCAGCAGGTGTTGTCTGGAACGTGTCGACATTGCATCCCCTTTCCTGTTTTCTCATACTACGACTCATTGATACATGGCAAGTCTTCAGCTGTACAGGTGTTGACGGATCTCGCAGACGTTATACGAAACCAGATGGCGGTGAGACATTTCGTAGTTAATCAGGCACGCAGGGCAATCTGGCAGCCCTGCCTGCACTGCATTGTCCCCCCTTAGTTCGATGTTGGCAAGTGACAGAGAACACAGCATGATCTATTCTAATATCGCAGACTGCACATGTGAGATGAACGCCCTAAAAACTGCTCTATTGCGGAGCTGTCCGGAGATGTTGCCTTGCGAAATGTAATCGTGGAACAAAGGGCAGCTCGGTCATTGATGAGAGATGTCCGTGACAGCCTGGAAACAGTCCGAGATTCTGTCAACAGCACTGTCGCCGTTATACTTGTGTGCAGCAGCATTGAGGTGATGGACATCGGCCGATGTTGCTATCGCAACGCAAAAAGACGTAGATGAAATTACGGCATGCCCAATGGAAATTGCAAGAGGATGCGAGTAATGCTACAAAATGAATATTGTATACTAGAACTGAGACAAGGGTTTTCCCTGCCGGGTATTTGAGCAACATTATTATGATTTGGCCTCCCCATTTTGAACTGCCTTCTTTTCCACCTGGACTGGCGGTGCTGTGACGGTGGCGCTGCTTGTCGCTATCACAGATAGGACGCCGTAAGCAACAAGTGCCACGACGGCAATCAGGTCGATGATGTGAACGAACCACCAAAAGTGCTGGGTGCCCAAGGCGCAGGTTGCATATTCAAATTGCCAAGTCCACGTGGTCTCGTCAAACCAAGCGCTGAGCAGACCTGCGTTGCCGCCAAAATCGCCCATCATGCTCCTGACGGTGATCTCCCTCAGCCCCGGAGCACCAGCAGCCCCGACTGCGCCGCGGCCCTTTGCTGTCGGCCAAGTTTCGACCTCCCATGACCGATCTTGTTGGTCTGGTTTCGTTTGGTTGATGTAGTGGTACGTGTCACAGCCCTCGTGATCGTGACCGTTCAAGATGACGCCGCGGCGACCTCTGCCGTTCCCGGGCGCCTCCGTGTTACCGCTCATACCGAAAATGCCCTCGAGGAAGCCTTTGCTCGCGTCGGCCGAAAGTAGGTTCTGCTCCTTGACTCCGCCACCGTCGTGGTCGCCGTGGAAGTCGAAAAAGGGCGCATCGACGCAAACACCTTCAGGCTTGTACAACGGGATATGAGTCAGCACGACGGTGAAATGACCGCTGTATTCTACGGCGGCTGAAGTCTCAATGACGGCGTTGATGAAGGCGTATGTGTCGTCTTGCAGAGACGTGTCTTTGGCCGGAGTATCTAGATTCATGTCGTTCAGGACGATGACGCGAATCTCAGGGGGCAGGCGATCGGACTCGGGATTTTGCTCGTCATCCACAATAGTGGCGTTGAGCTTTGGGTCTTGGATGGGTAGCTCGAAACGCAACTCGTAGTTTGCCTTGCCAAAGAGGCGCTCGAATCGGCCGAATCGGTCCTGGTTGATGTCGCCAGCGTAACCAATGTCGTGATTGCCGGCCACGTTGATGACACGGCGCGGCCACACGGCGGAGGGCTCACCAGAAGCAGAAAGGTAGTCGGTGAGGTCATACTCCATGGCCGGGAACACTGCGGTTTCGTCTGGAACCTTTCCGGCCCCTCGCACCACGCGATCCCAGTACCGACGGCCGCGGCGCCGGAACTCTTCAATGCCAATCCACTGACTGCCCAAGAGGTCGCCAAGTACGGTAACATGGGTAGGGCGAGTCCACCAGTGTACCGTTCGGAAGATGTGTGCCAGGTAAAAGTCGTTGCCAAAGAGGTCTATCCGCTTGCGAATCGATTCGAGCTCTTCAAAGACATCCTCCAGGAAGATATCGATAACGTCGTGCAGAGAGTGACGAATGCGCTGGCGCAACGAATTGCTCGACTGGAAGGTCACATGGGACCATAAGCTTCTCGCGTGAGGGAAGATTGGGCCATCGTGCTTTCGAATGGACGTGTCGCCCTCGAGCTGGGGGTCACCGAGCGCGAGAAGGCGGAAAGGCGCGGGACGAGCTTCGCTTGATCGGAGGGGAATTGGTAGAGGGATATGTTGTCGCGCGGCTTCGAGGAAAGCGGCAGCAGCACTGCTGTCGGCGACGTTGCTCGAACTATTTGAGGTCGATGCGCTGCGGGTTGGAGGGACGGGAAAAGCGCATCCCAGAAAGACGGGATAAAGATAGAGGTAAAAGGTCGAGATTACCGCCAGCGGCAGCAGGAGGCGAAGGCCATGGCGGAGGAGGGCCACGAGGGACATGTAGACGGCAGCATGAAGCAGAAGTCGACGACTCTGCAGCTGTGGTTGGTGTCGGGCCTCCTTATTGTGAAGAGAGGAGTGAAGCCCAAAAGAAGAAAAGGAAAAGCTAGGAATTGTACGGATACAGTTGAGATAGGAAGAAATAAACAGCCCTCTCCTATTTCGTCCAGCTTTCCGTCGCAATTTGCATTCGGAGGGTGACATGGGACGGAACATGTGTGGAAAAGGGGTCCAAATGGGTACAGCGACTGTAACCCTGGCAAGGCACTGCCCCCAAGCCTCAAGGTAATGTACCTACCCCGTAGGCCCCCCAAGGTGTGATGGAGTTCACAAAAGCCCCTGTTTCTTTAGCTACCTGTAAGCTATGGCCCGGTCCAGGCCACCGACGTCATTTGTTCTGGACACTACCCTTACTGTGGTCTCTTACCTCGATAAGGTACGATGCGATGCGATGCGATGTGACGAATGCATCTTCATACCACTTGCAGCAATTGCTGATTAAATGTGAGGTAGTTCTTTGAATATCGAAAAGCCACAATCAGCCTCCAGACTCACATCAGCCCGCAGTACTAGAGGCCAGACTGTCTACCGGTATTTGCATAACTTTCTAGACAAGAAAGCCATCATAGACAGTCTTAAGTGGCTAACCAAGGCCTGGAATTTGAAAAGAAGCTTGTTTCCATACCCATGAAATTTAGAGCCTCAATCTTCTATTGCCAAGCGTGAAGTAACCAAGGTCATTGCTTTGTCACTTGATGTGCATCTGTGCAAGACGTTGCCGTATGACTGTCAAAGACCGTTCCAATTGAGAGATATGATTCATAATCTTGTGACCCCGTCGCCCAACGCCATGCATGCATCGTTCTTGAAATCCCAAAATATCATCATGCATCAGATCCCATGCCCTCTTCATCCTCCATTTCCTCATCCAGAGTTGGAATATCGACCAAGAACTCGGGCTCATCCATGTCGAATGAGAATGCCACAATGCAATTGTCCTTGAAACCCTTTGCAACTGGAGTATCGTTATCCGAAACCTTGATGTTCTTCCATCCTTGCGTCAAATCGGCAGCATTGACAGGTAGGGCAAACGCCAGTTGTACGTCGCCTTCGGGAACGGCGGTGGTCTCGGGGGAGGTGTGGTTGATTGTGAGGCCGTCGGGAAAGCGATCACGGAGCACCTCGAGCAGAGACGTGGTTATTTCGGAGAATTTCTGTTGGCCATCGACAAACATCAAGATGGTGTGCGCACCGTGCTTGAAGCGCACCGAGAAGAAGGTCTCGTCGATCTGCTGTTATGGAGAATTAGCACCGTGAGCTCTGAGCAGGCAGAGATTTATAGAGGAATAGTAATACCATCTTCTCGAAGTGGCGATGCCGTGGTACTAGGCAGAATGGAAGGCAGGACGCAGGGTTGGAGGCAAAGGTGGGATGGCGCAAACCAAGTTGTTTGGATCGTCGGTGGGTAGAATTAGAGCAGGGTAAGGTGAGCTGCAAGCAGGGCAGCGGGGAGTCGCGACGGAGCTCGAGTCCGCGGGGCACTTTCCCCAATACGAAGTCACATGATTTCGTGTTCTATGAGTGGTGGCCCAAGCTCCTCCACCTCAGGCGAACAGTTTCCTTGGAGCTGACGGATCATCACAGACTTCTAAACGAGCAAATTGGCGGTGCATCCCGGTCTCCGTTGCCAAAGTCTTCAATTGTCAACAGCCACCCATCGCAGGCTCGTTTGGATTGCCTGAATACGCGAACGAACCCTCTACACTTCGATCCCAGGCTGATTCTCGCTCCTACACCAGCACCACCATGGCCGACCGCCCACACATGACGTTGGCCGAAAGCCTCAGTTTCGGCCAAAAGCCTTCAGACGCTCGCCTCTCCATCTCAACACCAGCGCGTATTCCGCTCGCAGGACTCATTGGATTCGGTATCGGGACCACCCTCGGTCTCGCCCATGGAGGCCGCATAGCTCAGCTGCGCTTCCGCGCCGAACACGCCCACAAGATGCCCACGACCACGACCGGATGGTACCTATATCACAAGAGCAAGAACTACCATACCATGTATGGCGGCTTCAGGGAAGGCATGACTATGGGACTTAGACTAAGCTTCTGGACCCTCATGGCCTTTGGTTTAGAGAGCACAATCGACCGGTATCGTGGCCAGAGCGATCTCATCAGTACTGTATCGGCCAGTTTGACAGTGGCCGGTACTTTCAGTCTATGGAGTAAGTTGACCCAACCTCACGCTGAATATCTTATGTGTACTGATGCTTTTTCAATACAGACCGCTTCTCTCTTCCGACGGCAGCACGCACAGCAAAATACGGTCTCCTGTTTGGACTGGTATATGGTGGATTACAAGACGCCGTTGGCCTTGCTCGAGGTCGTCCTATTGGCTACGTCGAATCTCTGCGCCGGCGATTTGGGTCTGGCAAGGCACCGAAAGCCGATCAGCCTCAGAGTGGCTGAGCTAGGGATCTCTCCCGAGAACGGCATCACATTGCCACAAGCCAACCTCCAGGAGCTGTGTAACCATAGGTTGTTGATTGCGCCGAGGATCGCCAAGCCTGGATAAAGCAGAGTGCCACGAAGCTGGCGCCTGACCTCTGTCCGCATGTCATTGCGCCTCCCGGTTCAGCATGGCCCGACTGGCCTTACGCTGCGCAATATCGAGACAAGCTACCGCAGGATACTGCCTCTGCACCTAGGCGAGGCCAAGTACCTAGAACCCCGCCAGTCTGCCTGGTAGCTGATCGCAGACCAAAGGTCACAAGCACTGGAATGTTCGAGTCGCAGAATAGCCTGGTTGCATCGAAGCTATCGATATGGACTCCAATCCCATCACCGTCGCAGGTCAAGGTTGTTCGCCAATGGGGGCATTGCAGATTGCACTGCATCAACGCCAGGGTCCGTCTGAACGCTCCGCATCCGCATCCGCATCCGGCTACAATTGGCTGCCTCTCAATGACACAAGATGCCCACGTGACAGGTCTGTGAGAAGAGATAACGAGCTTGGTTAGACCTGACCAAAGCGATCGTTGGCTATTTAGCTGGCCTCGGCGAGCAGGAATACATCATCATTTTGGCCAGACATTGGCCTACCTGAGATAACGGCCCAGTCCGTGAGACGGCCTTGGAACCGTCCGTGGGTACGGGCGCCATGCAAAGACGGACTAAATGAAGGCTATGTTTTTCGTAGGATCGTCGAGTACATCACCTATAAAGCCCTCCTGCGCCGATATTCTGTGTTATAGAGTAAATAGTCATTCATCACTCGAACTTACCTTGAACTAAGCAATCAACACTCTTGCTGCCACAATTAACAAGCTCGGTTCCATCCGTGCTGCATTTTTTATTGCCTTTTGAAATTGCTTCTACTTCGCCAGATGACCCGGCCTCTACACAGGGCTCGCTTATTCTGCGGCTCTAGGGCTACCGTCATGTTTGCGCCTACTCAACAACAAAGCATGGCTCTCAAGAGAAGATCACTGGATGCCGCCTTCCTGACGTTTGTTTCGCGCGCTAGAAGTCGACAGCATGGCAGCTTCCCTTCCACAATGGCGACGGATAGGTCTATCCACTCGTCTACAAGACGGTCTTCCTCCAATGACCAGCTCTTGGACGCAGCAGACGCAACACCTACACACTCACTCGAATCTAAGACGCCATCACCAGCAACAATATCATCATCATCATCATCATCATCATCACCACCACCGATGGGCCCCTCGGCACCCCTATCAGTCCTTCCTCTTCATATGATCATCCGCTCCTTACTTACAACAACAATATCCTCCTCGCCTATCCTTCTTCTGCCCTCGCTATGGTTAATGTCCGTCCTCGCGTACACCACCGACCCGCTGCTTAATCCAGACAAGAACCCACTCCTACGATTCTTCCTGAAGAATACCTTTTACGCGCAATTCTGCGCCGGAGAAAACTCAGTCGAAATCGGCAGAACCATCAAGGGTCTCAAAGATATCGGCTTCTCAGGTGTCATATTGGGATACGCAAAGGAGGTTGTCTTGACCGACGCCCAGAAGAAGGAATTGGGCGTATGCAGCAAAGGCAAAATGGCAGAAGAGTGCATTCGCAACGAGATTACTCCTTGGGCCAAGGGTACCTTGGAGACGGTGCAATTGGCAGAATCGGGAGACTTTGTTGCTCTCAAGTAAGACCCTTCTTTTCATTTAAATCTCCATCCTGATCCTTGAACCATGGCTACTAAACGCTTTTGTAGATTCACTGGTGCCGGCCGTCAAGCACTACATTCTCTCGCAGAGCGTTTGCCACCCTCTCCCGCCTTAGCCGACGCCATGAACTCCATCTGCTCTCTCGCTGCCGAGCGTGGTGTTCGCCTCTTGTTCGACGCTGAGCAGGCTTCTCTGCAATCTGGCATCGACGACTGGACTATGGAGTATATGCGAAAGTATAATACCGTTCCTGGGCAAGCCCTCGTTTACGGGACGTATCAGGCGTATCTCAAGTCAACCCCCAAGACTCTGTATAGACATCTCCGAGTCGCAAAAGAAGAAGGCTTCACGATGGGCGTTAAGCTGGTACGTGGCGCTTACATTGGATCCGACCCGAGACATCTCATCCACGACACGAAAGAAGGCACGGATGCCTGCTACGATGGCATAGCCAAAAGTCTCCTCAAGAAACAATGGGGAGACGTTTTGCAGGGCGACCTCCAAATGCCCCAAGTTAGCTTGGTCATCGCTTCCCACAATGCCGAGTCCGTCAGGCGGGCCCGCGAGATTTGCAATGACGGGGATGCCAAGACCCAGGTTGCCTTTGCACAATTGCAAGGCATGGCAGACGAAGTTAGCTGCGAGCTGGTCTATCCGACTAATTCGAAAAATGTGCAAAAACAGCAACGAGCAAAGTCGCAGGCCGTTGAAGCGTACAAGTATCTCGTCTGGGGGTCGACCGGAGAGTGCATGAAATATCTCCTGAGGAGGGCGCATGAAAATCGTGACGCGGTGCAGCGGACGCGGAGTGGACGCAATGCGATGTTCAACGAATTGGTGAGGAGAGTGAAGGGTATTATTGGGGTATCCATCTAAACTGGCGCGCTTTTTGGAAATCAAATCGCTGAGGTTGCAAAGAGCTGGATCCTACGAGTGGGGTTAGATATAACCCTAGACTTGTAGTATAGCAATTATGATTTTACGACTTACGACATATCCATTTAAGGATAACAGAGGCGGATCTCCTATAGATTAAGGGAATGCGTCTGCAGAATTTGGCACCTTATGCCGTGCGCAATGCCATTGCGCCCAAAACCAGAGTCTCGAGCTGTTCTCTGCGCTCTCCTTCGTCCTTGATGGCGTCGAGCCACGCGAGACCGTTCAACTTGTAGTACTTGCGCACCTTGGCCCAATCTGTTGATGTCGAGATGGATTCATCCGTGAACGGGGTAGGAGTACCCTGGAAGTTGTCCTTGAGGTGTTTCTCGACGTCTTCTGCGGAGGGAGGGCCGTTCGGGGAAGTGATCTTGACGACGATCACGTCCTTGGTCGACGGACTGATGCCATAGCGACGGTAGGCTTCTGCGATCTGATGACCGGTTAGTACCTTGAATCAGATGCTCGATATCGAAGGCGAATCATTGTACGTTATTCGCAGAGCTGAGGGATGCGACGAGCTCGGAATGCACGTTTGGGGTTTTGAGGCTGCCGTCGACCTTTGCGGTTACGGCCTTGAAAGCAGCAGCGAGGATATGGGTTCGAGAAACGGCCTGTCGAAGTTTGCAATTGTTAGTGAATCCTGGAGGCTGTTTTTTTGTGCAAACGAATTGTTTATCATACCACAGAGGCATCGATCAATGCATACTCAAAGTCTGCGTTGCGGGCGAGGAGCTGTTGGTGCAGAAAGGCTGCATTCTGAATATCCTTGAAGAAAGCGACGTGAACAACGTGATCGGCAGGCACGTGATCGATGGGTATGGTTTCAATGATGGAGGACGACATGTTGAATGCTAGATGGAGACGCAAATATCAGAAGAATGGGAAGACGGATGGGAGGTGTGGGTGGTCTGGTCGAAGAGTTTCGCGGGGTAAAACTTGGGAGGACTGAATTTCAGTGCCGCCGTCCAGTGTGTTGAAGTTTGTTATCGAGCGACGATAAACTTGGAGGGGCACCGCAATGGCGGGGTTCCCTGGCACGACCACGTCAGAATTACAGACACCTCAGACTCAGCTAATCCATATACTCCGTAGGCCCACCTGCCTGCCCTGCTGTTTCGTCTTGGTGTTCTGCGGTGCTGTAAATTCTTCGCTGCAATTCAGGACATCTCATCTCACAGCGCGATTCAAGAACTTCCTTCTCATCCCATCACTCACTCATCAATTCACTCACTCAACCGATGACTTAGTCATTCATTCACGAATATTCGTTTGACTCACTTAGTCAGTGAGTTGCAATTCACTGAACCCCTGACTAGGTCTGTTTTTCATTCCTCCCTGAAATTAAATCTTCCCTCCCCGCTCGGGCTGTAGCTTAGTGTGCCTGTTTCCTCCTAGCATGCATTGCACGTGTAAGAGACTAAAACCATCTCCTTCCCCGAGGCTAAGAACCTTATTGAAGCCCTATCACATCTTGTTCTGTGGAGATTAAGTTATTCCCTATCTGTCGTCTGTGGTCTGTTGATGATTCGTTCTGGTAAG